ATATAATAAAATATTTAAATGTATAAGTAAATAAAGAAAAATATAGCATGGTCTTAATTTATTAATAAACAAATAAACGAAGAAATAATGTGTTGGGGTGTATATACAAATGATGTTTGAAAAATTAAATAACTTCATTTTTACACTAGTTTATGACGAACAAATCACAGACTTAAGTGTACATTTACCCGTGTACGCGTGCGTACACATAAGCGTATAATTACTGACATATGCACATAAATTCTAACAATAATAAATAAATTAAATTATAACCACCTACAATTAATACATATGATGTCAGCAAATCCAATTAAATAATGAAACAATAGCCTGGTGAATAAATTTAGATATTTACATTTGTACATGTATGAAAATGAGTAGATGTCTATGTGTATATATAAGTATTTACCATTTAAGCATTAACGTCGTTAGCATCATATATATATATTTAAAAAATATTTTTTTCCTAAGCATTAATATACATTTATTTATATAAATACGTAAATAAACAAAATTCAACTTCCTAGCAAAAAAGAAAACAAAAGACAAAAACACTAAAATGGGCTTAAATAAAAATAAATAAATAAATATCGCCAGAACAAACCCAGACTATGTCAACTACAGATGAGAAAAAATAGAAAACTGGCTAAGGATGTGTAATAAAAAAAAAAAAAAAAAAAAAGAAGAAGGGCAGAATGATCACGACACGTATCCCTGCAGACGAGCGCTTAGATTTTTGGGTTGCATAATGGCTCCGAATGAGGAATCGAAGAGTCGAATTCGTTACATTGACTTACGCATGCATTTCCTTCGGAGGCTCTCTTCCCTTCCACCAATTATCGGTAAATAGTAGGACACTTTGAGATATAGAGCCTTCTTTTTTAACCACACTAGATGAATAATATACTGATGAAAAACAGCATAAATAGTGTTAGTAAAGAGTAGAAAACAGTATTAGAGGCGCCAGACTTCAACATCCAGTTCAGAAATAGAAACTTCTATTAAATACGCCCGATATTGTAGCTTTATCTGAGATGACAAAAACAGTGCAGCCTTGCAGAACATATTGCTATGCTATAGAGAGTGTGCAATGCAGGGTATATACATCTGAGGACTATAAACAATTCTCTTGTGCATGTTGTTTATTCGTAGAACTTAATGAATACTTATCCGTCGTTATCGATTGAATAACACTTACAATATATATGGGGGTGCAAAAAAAGGTATACTAAAATAAGTTCAGAAAACGTCGTGCATTGATTATGCAAACTTATCAATAACAAACATATCAATCGCTAAAATTTTCAAACTGTTTGTCCCCATTGTTTACACAATCCCCTTTCCCGGCAAAACATGCTTTTTATTATTATTATTTAGTAATAAATAAAAATTATAACAAATGTATTATATTATGTATAGTATATATTATGAAAATAAAAAGGATAAAAATGATTTTAATGAATTAAATGAATTTGAGTATTAAATTTATTCTCGAACAGTTGTCATAATAATTACCAAATACGTTCTTTTTCAGTACCCTATATATATATATATATATATATATATATATATATATATATATGTGTGTGTTTGTGTGTGTGTGTGTGTGTGTGTGTGTGTAAGCTATTTTTCATTCATGGAGGTTTTTCTGTTAACATGAAATCAAGTTCTTTGCTAATTTTTTTTCTTTTGCAATACAGGCAATTTTTCTGGTTTCAAGCGAAAATGTGATCTGATTCGACATTAGATTTTTTATCGCTGAAAAGCACAGACTTCGTACAGATAGTAGACACACAAAATAAACACACACACATATATATATATATATATATATTTATATGTGTGTGTGTGTGTGTGTGTGTGTGTGTGTGTGTGTGTGTGTGTGTGTTTGTAAAGAATGTTTTTTATTCGTATTCTTCATTAGATATCTCTTAATTTCATCTCTCTCAACATAACTGCCATTTTTTCTCTTCCTTTTTCTAAACATTTACAACAGTCAGCACATGAAATCCAAAACTCTAACACGGTTATATCCGTTGCAATAACGATTATTTTCGCCGCATTTTCTAAACATTGAAATACAAATCAATTTTTCAGCCTCCGTTCCTGTTTAATATGGATCACAGCATTGCACACGACAATCGTAAATTATATCGCCGCGGACACCTTTCACTTTTCTCCCTTTCTATTTGACAGGTAATTATTGCAAACGCTTACTTACGGCCATTTCTGCCTTTCTGATCTGTAGACTAACTCATTTCAGGATGTTTTATTTGGTTTATGCAAAAACCTGTGTCCGATTATAATTAAAGTACGATGTTGAATCTTATTTCACTCTTTTTATTTTCTTATGTTTTCACACGAAAATAATTATTTTTCGTCCATGTTTTAAAATATTTTAATCATATTTGCCTGAAATAGCCGGCTTTTTAATCTACATTCAGTACTCGCTGTCGTTGTATTTCGCTATATATTGATAATTGGTTTTATAATTCACACTTTTAATTTTCGCATAACAGATTTTATCCAATTTATTTTCTGTGATTCACAGATATTTCTTCATATATGTAGCCATTGAGTTAATTTGCATTTATAATACGCTGAAAGTTTTAGTTGGATAAATGCTGTTAGAAATAATATTATTGAATATTTAGATAAAATACATGGTAGAAGACATTTATTTAACATTTAATACTCACACACACACATATATATATATATATTCGAAGAAACATAACTGATAGATGTATTAGTTATTTTTCTTCGAGAAATTGTAATGCTTTCAGAACTGTTGCATTTTTGTTGCAAGATATCAATCTTTTGCAGATATTTATCCAAAACATTGAATCTTTCATCAAAGACATAAGTTTTGCTATTCGGTTCACCATGCACAAATTTTCGTCATAATCTCAATTTTCCAGTTCTTTCGTCTCCGATTGGCTTTCTTAAGTTGTCTGCCGACGTATTCTGTAATCTCGGAATTTTAACAAAACGTTTTTTCTAACCGCAAGAGTATATTTTAGTCTTTCTATTTCCATGCTCTTGGACTCTTTCAACGTTTCAAGTATTTCATCAGTTAATATTCACTAATCCCTTCTCCTTTATTCCGCTTTTGATTCATGTGACATTTCAACATCATGCACAAGGAAATGTGTGTTTTGTAATATTCAACCGACAATGATTAATATTCTACTGCTTTTTTTTGCGAGCTTCCGAATAAGATTTATATTGGATTCAATATTTTGGACGTACTCTACGCTTCCTTCTGTTCTGTACTTTTCGAACGCCGCAATCTTTATCAAGAACTGAGTCTAGGGTGCTAGAAAATGTTATATTTGCTGTATCTTAGATACACAAACACAGACACACACACACACACACACACATATATATATATATATATATATATATATGCAATGAGAACGAAAATATATATATAAATTCTAACGTTCAGAGAATTAATTCAAAAGCGGGATAAATACCAAGAGTAGAGCAATAATTATTTACAAAAACAGTTAGTCATTACAAACTTTTGTAGTGAGTAATTATTTTTGTCTGCATGTAAAACTCTAAAATAAATAAAATACATACACACACACACACACATATATATATATATATATACATATATATATATATATATATATATATATATATATATATATATATAGTGAGAAAACATACAAATTATAATTCCTCAATTTTTTCACGTAAACCAAAACAGTAAGAAGAAACTAAGATACAAGCAGTGATATTCAACTACAACACTTAAATTTCAAAATATTTACTGTCATCAACGATGCATTTTTCCATCAATGAGCAACAAAAGAATAAATGGTGCGGACGGAATTGGTCTAACATACAGACATACACAAAACGCTTAAAGCTATAGCCCACAGCATGTGTTCACATTCATTATTTACTCTCTGAAATCGATGAATATTAAATCATGCAAAATTCTACATGGCAGAATTCACTCAAATAGGACATTTTATATATATTTTCAAGTCAGACCCCATTTTGTCTGGCTGACGCGAAGATTCTACTTGATAAAAATGCCAAATATTTTTCTTTTACAGAAAATGCAACCTCTCGTATCATTCCAGCAACTAACGCTGTGAGCTAACATCATAAAAATAAAGATGAAGACAACAGTCATAACAATGTAAATAGCGCAAATATTTACAATATCCCATCTATGAAATACAGACATAAGAAAAATCTTATCTATAAAACAATGGCAATTCAAGTTCAAGCAATTGGCATAATGTCCTCGATCAAGATAAGTCATAAATTCTATCAGTGGAACAGTAACTATCGAAGTAATAGACTCAACCACCATATATTCTAATTTCATTCATTGCAATAACATCTGATTAATTCATACGCTAATCTTCGGCGAATATATGAATGTGTCAAATTATAATTCCGGATGCTAGTTTGAACGAGCTGTACACCCTGCCAATATCTAAAACCAATATACTGTTCAGTCTTGATTGTAAGGAAAAACTAAAACGACATTAGAAAGGCTATTTCGTTTCAATTGAAGATAGAGAAGACATTAATTCTCTCATGTGTTTATACCTGCTTCACTGAAATGAAAAACAACATATATAAAATTAAATGATAATAAATAAGGGAATGATATCGTTTGCAATAAAATATAAATTAAGGAACGGAACACAATAATATTTAGCAATTCATCTAAAATATTTGTAAAATTTAAAATCTACTAAATATGACTGACTCGTTTTCTACGGCTTAACACCCCTTTGCAATTTATTTAGAGCCAGAAAATATTTTCAGATTGCAAGGATTTTTTTTATAGTTAATAATTGTTTAGTGATGCAAGTCTTACTAAATGAACCTTAGATGGGGAGAGAAAAGGTGGATGCATACTTTTCCTGAGGATATTTGTGCCTAAGTCAGTTCAACATGCCTAACGGGAATTGGATTAATAATTCCGAGCCATTATCCATTACACCACATGCACATCGAAGCTTACAGCAGGTAGCATTTTCAAGCGGTCACACATTCATTTATTGATCAGGCTCGGCGTTGCTTAACTTCGGTGATCGTACGGGAACAGGTGTTTCAACGTGATATGACCTACTAAGTATGGGATCAATTTTCAATAGGATAATATTTTTAATTCTTAAAACACAAAGCAAATATTCGTGAGACGTATTAGCTTCATTACCCTTTTTCTTTCTGTCCTGGACGTTAAATATCCGCATCCTTGGTAAGACGTTAAACTACGTTCCGCAGCAAAGCCTCTGATCAGAAGATTTTGAGTAGCATGGAACCACCTCTTAATTGCTGGTGTTCCCAGGTCCACCCTGACCCGGGGTGGTAGCAACTGTTAGGGTCCCAGCTATAGGCAAATAGTTAACCAGCATTACCAGCAATAAAGAAATATATTACCAGAAACAGATTTTTGACAAAACAAAATGTTACCAGCAATACAAAATTTTGTCGGCATTAAATAACCCATTGAAGTCGATATGCCGTAAAACAAAATAAACCAAGCTAATCATTTTTCTTTTATTATAGTTAAATTGCGCTATATCCTAATTTTTGATGTGTCTTTATTGAAGCTTTCACTTGTATGGTTCGATCTCTGAGTTACGATGTTCTATACACTTTTCTATTGCTTAAGCTACCTGATCTAGACGAATATTAATTGCAGATGATGAAACATTTTCGTTATTTTGGTAAGGAACCAGTCGACTGGAATAATTTAATCAGTCTTTTTTGTTTTTCCATTCTGTGCTCTTATAAACAAATGAATGTCTTGAGATCAATTACAAAGTCATTAACTTTGAACGATTTAATGGTGACTGGACTTCATTCATCTTATTCCGCGTCAGATTATTGTTTATAATTAAATGATTCGTTTCTCATTAGGAGAAATGAACAGCTTGTTCGTTTGCGTCTCCGATAAGAACGAGTGGTGTTTTGAAATGTAAGAAATATTTACATTTCCGACAAAGATAAGAGACATTAAATGCTTACGAAAGAACGTTATGTGGGTTTTAATCGGAAAAGCTGGACCAAAGTACACAAACTTATTATCAGAGATGGCAGGCAGAAACATCTATTTTCATTTGCTTTCCCGTTGTCGATATCTTGAAAATAGACAATTAACGCAGAGACATCTTCTACTGTCTGGGGACAGGTGAAGTTTTGATTCTTATTTTTATATAGATATATTACGGAATATATTATGCTAATATTGTTGCCTTTACATTATTGTATAAGATGTATTCTGTAGAGTAAGCTAAATTTAATCTTTAATTACTTGCAATATTGAAAAGTGTTTTGTTGTGAGTATGTTACAATTGTTAAGAGAACAGAAAATCTGTAAGTGTGGACAGTTAAGCAATTTTCACTCCTAAATCTATATTAAATATTGTTACTCTCATTGTCATCATTCCTAAAGCTTATTTCATGTCAGTAACGCAGTAAACGTTTTCCAGATGTGTCTTTTAATAAAACTGCGTTCAATAACACATAGCTCCACATGCTCACCTTACAAACCGAAACATAATTGTTGGTATCTTAGCGATTGTAAAATGCAATATCTGCAATTTATCTGCAGTGAAACCATTCACGTTGTACAAACAGAAGATGATCATCTATTTAACGAGGCTGGCTTTATTCCCATATGCACACGATGGGAATAAAGGCAGCAAGAATTAATATTTCCTGACAAAGTAAGAATTAATATTTCCTGACAAAACAAAAGGTAGATATGATTACTTGACACGATTAAATATCGTTTCAAGAAAGAGATATGTTAAACACCAAAATTCGTTGCAGTTTGCAAAATTATAAAATAACTCTGTTTACATTGACAGCTTCGAGCTATAAAGGAAATATTTCTTAAGCCGAACATTGCAGGGTATTTGCTAAATTCTGGGATGTTTTCATTTTATCAGTCCTGATCTGGTTGCTCAGGTTCAGTCATTTTCTCACCGCCGTAAGATTGCCTTCCTAAATCTTTTTTATAAATAACTTCGCCATGGCACTTGGCATTTTTGGCGTCCAGATATCGTCAATTTACACATGAGCTTGCTTGATACAGTCTTAAATTCTATGCTAACAGTTTGTTTTCTCACAATTCCGGCTTGTTGAAATTCATTCGTGCTTCATGCTTTCCAGTCAACTTTAGTCAGCAAAAATTTGAATGCAATGCCAATCGCCATCTGATTATTATTTTTTCTTCCACACCAAGCAATCCCTTGTATCTTAGTGGCTTTACAGTCTTGGACGAGGTAGAACCGATTAAATAAGTCTATGGACTGCTACCCATATAGACCAAATGAACTGAACAATGGGCCTTCGATAAATAATGATCGAGTACAGATTCATAATTTTACTCAGAGATATTTTGTGAAATATTATGCTGTAATGTTTCTTTTATAATATTCTAGAATGTTTTATTCTGTAGTGTAAGCTAACTTTAAGTATAGATTAGATATTCACCCTGTTATCAAACTGTAAATAATATTGCTGACGAAACTACGAATAATGTACTTAGGAATGTGATGTGTTTGCTGATGTTAAATCAGAAAAATACAATATATTTGACAGTACTTATTTGACACATTCAGTCCTTTGAATACTTTGCATAGAATTGTATCACTTTTCCGCCTCTTTTTGTTTCGAGTAATCTGCATGCATATACGGCAGTCACTTTGTCTTGTTCTAACTTTGTTGGCAAATGCACCAGGAATGAAATGACTCCGAGTAAGTAGCAATTTTGTGAATCCTAGTGCTGCCAATTAGTTATTTTACTTCAAATCGTAAAAGAATGGTATACTTATCGTTGAAGAAATTTTAATTCGTCATTTGATGATATCTGTTGATTTTTTTTTATTAATAACTATTGATAATACACGTTGTTTAAGGAGTACATTTGTTATTTCAATAACAACAAAATAGTAAATTCTTAAGAGCCTGATTAGAAACTATTTCATTGAGTAATAAAAAATTAATTTAGAGAAAGAAATCTTGAAGCCTGTTTTTAATTGGATAAATGTTACATTCCTATGTTATATTCATGCATTGGCTATTTGAATGTCTTGTTAGATTACATAATAAACATAATTTTGAACACTATTTTCTTCAGACTTAAATGCAATCAATAATTTAAAGATTGTGGCAGCTGAGCAGGAGTAAATAATTTCAAATTCATCGAATTGGTTATGACTGATATCGATCTGCTTGGAGATAAATCACAGAACATTTAAAAATCGAAAACGGTAAAATTTTGAAAAAGTAGATTCTGTTTTGTAAAATTTTGTAATCAGGAAAATTTCACTCTTCATTTTGTAATTTGGTATTGCAAATATTTCCTGCAGAAATGATATCGAATATTTAGCAATTATGGCTTATTTCTAGCCTAAGTACTTAGAATAATTATAATGGCCTTACCAAATTTCCGATAAAAATGATTGCTCATGTGACTAAATATTTATTCCCGAAATTAGAAAAAGAGACAACAATGTAAGCAGAATAAATTATCCATAACTTCTAGTTGGTCAGCAATAGTGCCATAGCATCAATCCCGTGAAAACATGCATACCGTGAAAGTGTCCGTAATAGAGAACTAGAATTCTTCTTATACTTTCTGAAGAAGCGTCGAATTAATTTACACAAAACAAATTAATTTTGGATTGAGCCAACGTTTATCCTATTTGTTGTTGCCAATAGAAAGACAAAAATATATTTACATTAATTTTAATAACGTTTTATATGTAAATATTACATCAGAAAACGTATGCGTAAAACAGAATATTGCATAAGTGATATCGATAAATTAGAAAAAAAAACAGTAATTCAAGCATCTAATGGTTCTATATCTTTTACAAATTCAAAATTAACTTGGAATGTTGAGAGAACCACAAATAATTAAAAAGGAATCCATAGAACAATTGACTAGTGTGTGCGTTGTGGACACTATGTTTATTGTCTAAATGCATATATTGACGAATTCATTAGCAAGAAACAGTAAGCTTACAACGGTTTGAACAAGTGGAAGTAACTGAACCTGTGTTTTTTAATATGTGATATCAGAACATTACAAGTGAATGAAACAAAACTTTAAAATATATTATTAACTTTTGAGAGGAAAATCGGAAACGCTTAATTTAAGTAGTCGATAACTAAAGACCTGTTTTTAATGCCTCCATTTTGTAACAATATTGGAATCCATCATTTAGGAAGCGGAATCACGGTTTCACTTTCAAAGGTTTATGTATAATCGACGTGGTTTTTACAGAAATGCATCAGCATCCGCTAGTGCATTATATACTACAATGGTCTTTGAATTTTGCCAAACGATGCACCAGTATAAAACTCCCATGGTGTAGATATATTAGCACGCTACTCTGGTTATCTACTTCCAAATTTCCAGTTATTATTTGCTGACAGCATCATCTTTCCACCTGTTTGGTTACAGCAAATAATATCTGAAAGAAAGCAATTCCTGCATGAAGGCACACAGTTTAAAGAGGTTCAGCCTTGTAGGCAATCTCAGCTTTTAGGGATCTGAAAGTAGAAACTGCATAAATATAACAACGCGGGAAGCATGTGATACTAAATATAAGACAAATAGGAAAAGAGTAAGCTTGTGTCGATGTATGAACCGATAGATAGATACAAACATCTGGCAAGCTTAATCCTTTTCTATCTATATTATATTTACGACCACATATAAGAGAGCATTTTAATTAAAATATCACGTAACTTTTTGTTTGTCTGTTTTTTTTTTTTGCTTTTTTTTTTTACATATATTATCAAATTTCAAAGTTCTTGCCTATGTTTTATCAATGAAAAAATCAGTGAAATAATCCATCATCTAATTGCTTTGCGACTGGAAATTCTTCATTGACTTTTTAACCACGTGTTCCGATTTTAAACTAATGAAGATTGTTCTTTAGAAAGTTAACACATGTTGATAGGTCTTTGGCACTTTGGCATAATGATCCCATTTCAACGGAATTCTCAGATGATTGATTAAGCTCTAGATTCTTATGCGAATATTATTTGTAAGAATCGAACACAATAAATTAATAAATTTCGTCGTTAAAAAGGTTCATGACC